GCTTTGAAGTGATTGAATGTCTTTGGGGGGAGTTGGGTTGGGTGGGGAGAGGGTTTGGATGCGGAAGTCTTGGTTGTGCTGTGTGAACACTGAAAAGCGGCAAATAAAGTGTTCTGTTCATTCATTCATTCATTCCTTCATTTTAAATACTGTACTCAGTTATGCATACTCTGTTACTCTTCTGATATTAAATGTTCTGCTTGTTTAGACTGATTACCTCAATCCTTGAAGAAATACTGTACTAAGGCATGTCTTTTTCGAATCTGAAGACAAAAAAGTGTTGGGCTGCATCCAAAAATTATTATATATTCCTTTCAAAGATGGACGAATTTTACAAAATGCTCAATCGATTCAATTCAGCTGTGTTCAATTTTTGATTTATCTACAGTATATTTGTACTGACCTCTGACCTTTCTCAAAACTTTTTTGAAGTGTTGAAAAGTTGTTTAATATGGATAGTCATCCCATTCGGAGATCGGTGAGAATTGGCATCACCACCCAAAAACACTGGAAATGCTTCTCAATTTTCCCTGAAATTTCGAAGAACACAGCACATTAATTATGTGTACAAAAAGCATGTATAGCTTTCCTCGGAAAGGCAAGCGGATATATAGTATTGTACAGCATATTATTCGCGTTTCTTCTCGCTTTATTTTATGTGACTTACGAACGAAGAGTACAACACATGTAAAAGGAACATCATCGTGCCCACAAATGGCAAAATGACGCATAAAACGGAAGGGACGAAGAGAACTAGACTAGCAACAAGAGGAAGAAGCAGAAGCAAAAATAAAACGTTGTAAAAAACCCAAGTGGGGGGGAGAGTGAGGGTCGTCCGAGAAAAGAGGAGCTCTGAAGGTTAATTTCTTATTCTTCAGCAATAGAGAAACGTAATTTGGAAGAAAAAAAAAGGGAACTTCGTGACGGGTGTGTGTTAGAGCGATGGAGATAAACAAAGAGTTCCGCGAGTGCATCGCACGACACAGACGAGAAGCTACGAGGAACCCGGGGTATAAAAACCCCGGGCACCGACAGGTTGCCGGCATCAGTTCGCATTCAAAGGCTGAATTCCTCAGGTGTTCGGGTTGAGACTTGGAGGCTAGCAGCTCTTTCGTGTATTTGCGAGAAAGGAAAAAAAAAGGCCTTTACGTTTTATTTCTGGTGCTGACTCGCAGTCAGTTGGTGTGACAACAAACATGAAAATCGTGAGTTTTTTTTATTTATTCATTTTTTTGTTGCTGTCCCTGATGCTGCAATTGAATTTTCTCGATAAAAAATTAATTTCCTTCAATTCAGTCAAATTTAATGCAGTAAACATGTGCTTTTGAATTTGCCATAGAGTATACTAAGGATGCCATGACATTTTTTTCATCACAGTAGCTTGAGATGAAGGTACAGTATTTATGTACATTACAGTATTAACATTTTTAAAACAGAATCATTCAAACTACTCTATGACCAGCAAAGAAAAAAATGTTTGCATTAAGTCTGTGTTCCATTGCTGAGGATTATTTTCTTGAATTTTTATGCATGCTCAGGACGAAAATTTTCTCACCAATTCACATTTTAGAGCAACGCAATTTAACGTTCAGCTTCTTCAACAAATAAATTGCAGAATAGAGAGCAGTTTTTTTTAAGGGATCATTAATACTGTATCAAGTCTGGGACATGTCGCAGAAAGCATTTTTCAATCATAGTACAGCGCCAAAAATATTTAGTAGCAGTTGGTGTTCTTGTAAATCCCTATAAAGCATACGAATGTGACGGCTATATACTTCTTTTTTTTTGCGGTGATGCGGTTGAATTTTAGCTTTCTGTCTTCTCTTCATTTCAGTCTGTAAAACCCTTTTTTCTTTGAAAGAATCACTTCTTCATTAATTCAGAAAACAAAATTGAAACCAAAATACAGACAAATTCGGGTTTCAATCCTCAATCTCTAATTTCCGATGCGCGACGCGTGTTTTCGAAGTTTCTTCCTCCCATATTGATGGAATACGTATCATAATATCTGGTCGTGGTTTTGAAACCTGTCCTCAAATAATATTTGAAATGATCTCACAACATTCTTCGAAAGGAACTTGAATCTGGGGTTTTTCGAAAGATTCATGAAATGAGAAAATCTGAAATTGAAAAGAATTTCAACGAATGTTACGATACTCGCAGTAAAAACTTCGTGAATTACTGACGAATCAATTCGACGGGTGACACAGCAGTAGGGATGGAATAAATGAGAAATGATCGAACATCTCGGAATTAATTCCACACTCAAATGCTAAAAATAAATTGTCAAAATATTGTGAATAGCTCGCAGTCATTTGACCGACGTTTCGGATTTTTCAGGCAATCCTTTTCCTCGTCGCATGTGGCGTCGTCGCCGTATTTGCTGACAACAGTGCCGAAGAGGAGCACTTTGATTTGGAAGGTTCTGAAGGCGGATACGGCAAACGGGGTGGCGGTGGTGGCGGCTTTAAGAAGGGCGGTGGTGGAGGCGGATACGGCGGAGGCGGCGGTTATGGAGGCGGCAAGGGAGGCGGAGGCGGCTTCGGCGGCGGTGGCAAAAAGGGCGGCAGCCTCTATGGGTAAAATTTTGAACTGACGAATGAAACTGACATTATTTTCAGAGCGGAAGCCGAAATCCATAAATCGTCAAAATATTATCCATTTTAATGATTCACATGTAATATTGGTGTCCGAAAATGCTGCTTCGCATTCGCTAAAATTTTTAAATTTGATTCATCAAATTTTCCGATAAGGTGCAGTTTCGGGATTTTTAGCACAATGATCAACCCGTTTGTTTCGGGTTCTGCGTCGAAAACTTTTTTTTATAATAGCGAGTACCGATATTTGTAATTCTAGAGATGATATGATCATTGATTTTTTTTCGTTGCTTACCCTCTATACTGCTGCCTCAATATTTTTTTTTTACGTGAAAGGGGCATGATATCCAAATTATAGAGACAATAAGCTTCAAATATATCTAAAAACAAGGAAAATATCTAGTACGTGCTGTCTTTTAAGAGATTTGTAAGATGCTTTCAATATTATTATTTTTATTATTATAGACGATTAAGAACAACAAAAAATATTTGATCGCTTTGAAACAGACAGACCGCAACATTTCCAAGACTGTATTTTTGCCAAAATTTACACTTTCTGAAATTATTTCGGCTTCGTGAAGGGGTAAGTGAAAGTCCCATTGAAATTTCCAATGGAATTTAAAATTTTCTCGACATAGTTCTAGTAACAAACTTAATAATGAAATTATATGTAGAAGAATATTTTGGAAGGAAACTGCATCCTTTAAATTCTGTTGTTTTTACATCCATGCAGTGCGGGTTAGAAATCACTAATTGAGAATTCTTCTCTATAATTTGAACATTTTGTAAGTTCCTGAAGTTTGAAACCTCAAATTTCAAACTTTGCTTGTAGAACGTGTTCCGCTATTTTTCATTGATGTTCATGAATCAGTGTTCTTCCTGAAATTTTGAATTGAGACAAGAAGGGAATTTGTGCTGATATTTTTTCATGCAATTTTCATCATTATAAAACAGGAAAATTGTAATTTAATCTCACAATAATCATTGGGATTTTCTCGAGCCAAATTGTTCTTGAAAAGCCAATTTTCCTTTGTGCTCGCATTCTTTCCTTAATTTTCGATCAAAGTTGTTACGTTTTTTCTACTTGTCAAGTTTTTTTCCCCGACAAAGAGAAAAATAAAATAAAAATTATCACACGTACTGTATTTTCTTTAAAATTACTTTGGTTTTGTGTAAGGTAGTCAACTGGGTTTGCATTAAATTTCTGCAGCGGCGGAGGTTATCGTGGAGGCCGAGGATACGGAGGCGGCGGAGGTAAAGGCGGCTACGGCGGCGGCGGCTACGGTGGCGGCAAAGGCGGCGGCGGCGGCTACGGCGGCGGAAAGGGAGGTTTCGGTGGCGGCGGTGGCTCCAAGGGCGGCTTCGGCGGCGGATACGGCGGAGGTAACACTGGCATTGTATAACGGAATTGAATCTCGTTAAAATTGAAACAGAAAAACCATTAAAACTGCTCAACATGCCCGAACCTTTGAATGCATAATCGATTGTGCCTTTCAATTTGTGTTGCAGGTTACGGCGGAGGAAAAGGAGGCAGACGAGGAGGCGGCGGTAAATTTTTCCTATAATTTTAAAATAGTTTTTTTTCTAGACTTACGAAAGAATTAATAATGTACTGTACATATTATCACTATGGAAAAGTGTTCAATATTTCACTGTTTTTAGGTTCCAAGTACAATATTGTGTGTCTCATCCTTCAAAAATCCGAGACATGATCTCATAGTAGAATATCGACCGCTTTAAAAATTAATAAGATTGGCACATGCTCGAATTATGGAGTATCAAGTTTGTCAGACCTCAACTTGTTTAATTTCAGTTTTATGCACACGAAAATGAAACCTACAAGTATATTCGAGTTGTTAACCTTTTAACTGACTGAACACATTACCTTAAACGAAGGTCTTTAGACTTCCTATAGGCACTTTTTATTTAAACCTTCAGGTCCGATGACATTTATAACATACTTCGCAAGTCCCGCTTTTCGTTAATAATTTCACTTTTTCAAATGAACAAAATATTTATAAAAAAAAGTTAAATAACCTGGGATGTCCAGCCACTTTCGAAAAGTACCGCTATAAGATGCTTTTGTGAATAGTCTCATCTTATTGCACCCTTGTCTGATTCTTTTTGCAGCGAGTACTAATAAGCAAGAGGAAAACTTCGCTTGAACACAACTTTTGTCTGTTACTCTGTCAAAGCTATTCCGCTAGATGGAAGCACATTTCTACAAATTTAACCAGTCTACTTTAAGTCTAATTTCAAGCTTGTATACCTAGAAAATGAGAACTCGTATCATTTTTTTTATCAATTAAAATAACGATAACAGAATACTTTACTGTATTGGAAAACGATTACATTCATTCATTTCTTACCACAGCTGCCTAATTTTCAACTTCCGTCTTGCAGGTTACGGAGGCGGCGGCAAAGGCGGCAAGGGTGGTTTCGGAGGCGGAGGTAGGTTTCCCCTTTTTAAAATTCTGTTCTGAAAAAGCACTTGTTAGCATGTTAAATTATAATTTTTTATGAATACCGCACGTATTTTATATTCAATGTATGCAGTGCACTATTTTATTTATTCTTTCGAAACAGCACAAGCATTATTCCTATATATTTTGCCACGCATGCCGTGAAATAGTATTTGTGGTGGTCAACTGAAAGAATGCCCAGTGAATGTCAGTCAGTGGAATAGTGAATACGAAATGATTTTATATTTACGTCGATCAAATGCTTTATTGAAGGATCGTTCACGATCTTGGCGATGACAGATTTCGTACTGGTAATTTCCCTGACCACTTCAAGGTGTAAAGTTTTCCAAATACTGTGCTAAAAACATTATCGTGACTGGATGTGACAAACAAATGAACGCAATTATTATTTTTTTCTGATTCAACTATGAAGTAATTTTCTTGGATCTAAGTGCGGAACATCAGCACGAATACGATGCCAACTCTCAGCAATAAATCATGATATTATTTCAACTCACGTCAAGGCTGTGTATTTGTTATGATGCTTTAATTGATTGTCATAATTCTTAATTTTTCCGTATTTATTATTGTTTCTTATGAAATTTTCCCTGTCGTTTTTCTTCGTACGCACTCTGGAGCAGGCTTTAGCAAAGGTGGTGGATACGGCGGAGGTGAGTTCACCTTTTGAACATTCGCTTCAAGATATTCTTTGGAGTTTTTTGCAGTTTTTTTTTTTTAAGTATTACGTGAAAGGGGCATGATATCCAAATTATAGAGACAATAAGCTTCAAATATATCTAAAAACAAGGAAAATATCTAGTACGTGCTGTCTTTTAAGAGATTTGTAAGATGCTTTCAATATTATTATTATTATTATTATTATAGACGATTAAGAACAACAAAAAATATTTCATCGCTTTGAAACAGACAAACTGCAACATTTCCAAGACTGTATTTTTGCCAAAATTTACACTTTCTGAAATTATTTCGGCTTCGTGAAGGGGTAAGTGAAAGTCCCATTGAAATTTCCAATGGGATTTAAAATTTTCTCGACATAGTTCTAGTAACAAACTTAATTAATGAAATTCTATGTAGAAGAATATTTTGGAACGAAACTGCATCCTTTAAATTCTGTTGTTTTTACATCCATGCAGTGCGGGTTAGAAATCACTAATATTGAGAATTCTTCTCTATAATTTGAAAATGTTGTAAGCTCCTGAAGTTTGAAACCTCAAATTTCAAACTTTGCTTGTAGAACGTGTTCCGCTATTTTTCATTGATGTCCATGAATCAGTGATCTTCCTGAAATTTTGAATTGAGACAAGAAGGGAATTTGTGCTGATATTTTTCCATGCAATTTTCATCATTATAAAACAGAGAAATTGTAATTTAATCTCACAATAATCATTGGGATTTTCTCGAGCCAAATTCTTCTTGAAAAGCCAATTTTCCTTCGTGCTCGCATTCTTTTCTTAATTTTCGATCAAAGTTGTTACGTTTTTTCTACTTGTCAAGTTTTTTTTTTCTCGACAGAGAGAAAAATATTCATACGTACTGTATTTCCTTTAAAATTACTTTGGTTTTGTGTGAGGTAGTCAACTGGGTTTGCATTGAATTTCTGCAGCGGCGGAGGTTATCGTGGAGGCCGAGGATACGGAGGCGGCGGAGGTAAAGGCGGCTACGGCGGCGGCGGCTACGGTGGCGGCAAAGGCGGCGGCTACGGCGGCGGAAAGGGAGGTTTCGGTGGCGGCGGTGGCTCCAAGGGCGGCTTCGGCGGCGGATACGGCGGAGGTAACACTGGCATTGTATAATGGAATTGAATCTCGTTAAAATTGAAACAGAAAAACCATTAAAACTGCTCAACACCCAACCTTCGAATGCATCATCGATTGTGCCTTTCAATTTGTGTTGCAGGTTACGGCGGAGGAAAAGGAGGCAGACGAGGAGGCGGCGGTAAATTTTTCCTATCATTTTAAAATAGTTTTTTTTTTCTAGACTTACGAAAGAATTAATAATGTACTGTACATATTATCACTATGGAAAAGTGTTCAATATTTCACTGTTTTTAGGTTCCAAATACAATAATGTATGTCTCATCCTTCAAAAATCCGAGACAGGATCTCATAGTAGAATATCGACCGCTTTAAAAATTAATAAGATTGGCACATGCCCGAATTATGGAGTATCAAGTTTGTCAGACCTCAACTTGTTTTAATTTCAGTTTTATGCACAAAAAAATGAGACCTACAAATATATTTGAGTTAAATTGGAAAATTGACTGACTTGTGTAATGGAATTTGCTTCCAGAAATCTGAAGGATATCCGTGAAAAATAAATTTGGAAGTCCAGGCTACTGTAAATATTGTATGAAGCGTTCAGGGCGAAAAGCAAAATAATTTCACTTTTTCAAATGAACAAAATATTTATAAAAAAAAGTTAAATAACCTGGGATGTCCAGCCACTTTCGAAAAGTACCGCTATAAGATGCTTTTGTGAATAGTCTCATCTTATTGCACCCTTGTCTGATTCTTTTTGCAGCGAGTACTAATAAGCAAGAGGAAAACTTCGCTTGAACTTAACTTTTGTCTGTTATTCTGTCAAAACTATTCCGCTAGATGGAAGCACATTTCTACAAATTTAACCAGTCTACTTTAAGTCTAATTTCAAGCTTGTATACCTAGAAAATGAGAACTCGTATCATTTTTTTTATCAATTAAAATAACGATAACAGAATACTTTACTGTATTGGAAAACGATTACCGTACATTCATTCATTTCTTACCACTGCCTAATTTTCAACTTCCGTCTTGCAGGTTACGGAGGCGGCGGCAAAGGCGGCAAGGGTGGTTTCGGAGGCGGAGGTAGGTTTCCCCTTTTTAAAATTCTGTTCTGAAAAAGCACTTGTTAGCATGTTAAATTATAATTTGTATGAATACCGCACGTATTTTATATTCAGTGTATGCAGTGCACTATTTTATTTATTCTTCCGAAACAGCACAAGCATTATTCCTATCTGTTTTGCTACGCATGCCGTGATATAGTATCTGTGGTGGTCAACTGAAAGAATGCCAAGTGAATGTCAGTCAGTGGAAAGTCAGTGAATACGAAATGATTTTATATTTACGTCGATCAAATGCTTTATTGAAGGATCGTTCACGATCTTGGCGATGACAGATTTCGCACTGGTAATTTCGCAGACCACTTCAAGATGTAAAGTTTTTCAAATACTGTGCTAAAAACAGTGACTGGATGTGACAAACAAATGAACGCAATTATTTTTTTTCTGATTCAACTATATGAAGTAATTTTCTTGGATCTAAGTGCGGAACATCAGCACGAATACGATGCCAACTCTCAGCAATAAATCATGATATTATTTCAACTCACGTCAAGGCTGTGTATTTGTTATGGTGCTTTAATTGATTGTCATAATTCTTAATTTTTTCGTATTATTGTTTCTCATGAAATTTTCCCTGTCATTTTTCTTCGTACGCACTCTGGAGCAGGCTTTAGCAAAGGTGGTGGATACGGCGGAGGTGAGTTCACCTTTTGAACATTCGCTTCAAGATATTCTTTGGAGTTTTTTGCAGTTTTTTTTTTTTAAGTTCAGCGCACTGCACTGCTTTTTTGATGCATGATTTATTTTGGAATGTTGCAAATTTTCTTTGCAGGCTACGGAGGCGGATCACATGGAGGCGGCTATGGTGGTAATTTGTCTAACAATTTATTTCGAGAATAAGCGACTATAGACAACCTAAAAAATTTTCTCTGTCATTTAGAAAAGTAACGTTATTTTGACTGAGTTTGTTTAGTTGAAGTCTTTTGCAGCTTTTTATTAAATTCAGCAAGCTGCACTGCTTTTTCGATGCATGATTTATTTTGGAATGCTGCAAATTTTCTTCTCAGGCTACGGAGGCGGATCACATGGAGGCGGCTATGGAGGTACAATAATTTCTCCAACCATTTATTTCGACGATATGCGACTATAGGCAATCTAAAAATGTTTTCGATCATTTCGAAAAGTACATTAACGTTCTTTTGGTTGGCTTTGTTTAGTTGAAGTCTTTTGCAATTTTTTTTCAATTCAGCAAGCTGCACTGCTTTTTTGATGCATGATTTATTTTGGAATGTTGCAAATTTGCTTCGCAGGCTACGGAGGTGGATCACATGGAGGCGGCTATGGAGGTAATTTCTCCAACCATTTATTTCAACGATATGCGACTAGCCAACCTAAAGAATGTTCTCATTTCGAAAAATAACGTTCTTTTGGCTGGCTTTGTTTAGTTGAAGTCTTTTGCAGTTTTTTTTTCTCAATTCTGCAAGCTGCACTGCTTTTTTGATGCATGATTTATTTTGGAATGTTGCAAATTTTCTTCGCAGGCTACGGAGGTGGATCACATGGAGGCGGCTATGGAGGTAATTTGTCTGACCATTCATTTCGACGATATGCAACTAGAAAACCTCAATAATTTTCTCGATCAAAACGTGCGGAGGATTAAAGAATCTTTAAAACTGGAAGTGCTCAATGCATTCAAGTCGTAGTCTATACAAGAGATGATATACTCATGGTTTATCCTTCCTCTTAATGTCAAAATATATTTTGCGATCAAGGTATCTGCCGACTTTGAAAGACGGTGATCGAGCTACTGTGTTGTGATAAGGAATTTTAAATAAATAAAAAAATGCATTAGAAGACGTTCCAGTGTTTGTCTGAAGCTGTCCAAAGAGGCATTGAAAATTTAATTTAACGTACTGCTGTACTACTGAAAGTAAAATGTATTTTCACTGGTCATCCCGAAGTGAACGATGTCTCTTGATGACTTGATATTTACCGACTGTGCGGTATTTAGCATTGTCTTATTTTTCATGGAGCTTGGATTATATTGAGTCTAAATTATTTTGGGGTTCGTCAGCTCAAGATTAATTTATAGTTTGGTAATCGCATTATTCAAAAGCAAGGCATTATTGCACGAAGAGCCTGCCAATTTTGTTGAGGTTAATATTGAAAATTGAAGTTGAATACAGTAAGCCAAACTGATTGTATTCCTCGTTCCTCAGATTTATTATAGGACAGCAAATTTGAACATTGCTTCATCTACTTACTCGCATTAATTTATCTTACGTGCTGATACATATGCACTAGAAGTAAATTCAATGTTGATCACATTAAGATACCGTTTACGCACGAGTTAAATTAGTAAATAGTTTAAATAATTTAATCAATTTCTGGTTATGTGAGTAGAAATACTAAAACAATCCGAGGGCAACTACTGTACTGCATATCGAAACAAGGCATGCAGCTCGTTAACTGGCCGCGCGTCCTCTTCGAGTCAAGTACTGCACTGTAACCGATTTCGCTTACTTTGAAAATAGATGTCGCTTTTTGTCTTGTGCATGCATTTATGCATGATCGATGCGTCACCACAGCACAGCAAATTTATTTTCCTCCTTTTATGTGGAGATGACACACGAACAGTATTAAAATCTCTCCATGATTGAAATAAATCATATTTATAATCCATCTTATTCTTTACATTTCTAGGAGGAAGAGGCGGAGGATACGGAGGAGGCAAAAAGGGTAAGCTTTACCTTGTATTGTAGTTTGCTATTGCTGAATTCTGGGACGAAATTCATTTATATGTCGATATCAGAACCTTAAAGCGAATGGGTCGTCGGAAAAGAGATGTCTTCAGTGAGCAATGTGTAGACGAAAAAAGAACGATTTAACTGAAACATGTGAAGTCTATTTTTGACAGTTCTCTGGTACGTGTGTATACAGGATTAATGATTCAATTGGGACATTTTTCGAATTACGCAGTGAATATACGTCAGTGGTTACAACAGAGTAATTTCGTGACATTGCCGCACAACGACGAAAAAATCCTGGAGTGCAGAAAACTTATTAAAAAATAATTGCCTTGTGAAACTCGCTCGCAAATCATTATAAGGGAATACCTTTTCTGCTATTTCTTGGCAACAAACGCGTAAAACTAAAAATGTTGATGCTGGACTGTATCATATATTTCTTCATTGCAAACAGGAGGATGGTAATTGCTCAAGCTGCCAATCCGGACGAGCCACGGAAACGACACCTCTCGAGAACAAATCGCAAATCTCACTCTGAAAGCAGAGAGAAGACGACGAAAAACCTCTTGCTCAAGACCTGAATGAAGCCTTCTGTCTCTCGACATATTTTGAAAAAAAATAAAATAAAAAATAAATGCATCCAGTATTACAAGATACGACGAACGCAGAAATTAGCGACTTCCAGCGGGGACAAACGCGTTGATATCATTTTTGTACCGAAACCGTATTTTTGTGTGCATTTCAGCCAGCCTTTTTTCATTTGGAATGTGTGACCCGCCAAAGACACGAATAACAAACGAAAGCGTTTCGCACCAAAAAATGACGTTCTGTGTTGTTTCACTTTTTCTTTTTTCCCTCTCTCACATTTTTATTTTCTAAAATGTGGGAAATACCAACCTGTTTATTATAGTTAAGTCGATGCTTTCAAGGACGAGTCTCAGTTTTATTTTGCTCACTTGCGTTTGAATTCTTCTTATCATGCATTGGAGATTTTGCTAGACGGCATTTTAAAATTTCAGCAAAACTTTCCCAGTCCTTCTTTTTTTATTTTCTTGACCAGAGCTGCTCAATTGATACTCTGCGTTGCCTTTGGTTTCCATACTGGGGTTCCCACAAGGGCTCCACAGAAAATTCAAAATATCGAAACAGAGCCTCGCAGTTACTGAAATGTTGACCTTATCATTCTCCAAAAAATTGGCTAGACAACCTGGAGGTTTATAATTAAGGTAACAATGTCATTCCATTTCCATGAACAGTTGAACCATGAGCAACGCAATTCGCAAATTTAAGCAGACTCGTCTTTCTTGTCATCGGAGAACAAATGATAGAAATGTTGGCATTTTTATGCACGGTTGAAGGAAGTTGATTTCATTTCATCCCTATTTGAAATTGACTGCGTTCCTTCCAAAAGTGTCATTGTCAAAATTATACTCGAAATTGAATATAAATGACGACCATGATTCTTGAAAAGGAAAAAATGCATCCATTTTTCGGAAATGGCTGGCTCTATATAATCATACATTTTATTTGTAAAGTACTGTGTAATACAAATTAAAGATATCGTTCACTCGGCGACTCGCTTAATGTTACTCCAAAATTAGACATTTTTTCCGAGAGTGCAAACCTGCTGAAAAAATACTAAAAACCAAAAACGGGTGCAAAGAAATAGTCCCTGCAAGTCGAAAAAAGTTAGAAACTCCGCTCTGAATTGAAACTTGAGAAAACAATTCAGTGCGTTTGTATGTCAATTAATTGATCATTTCATTAATGCCTATTTTTCGATATCGCATCTTCGAGGTCGTTCACATTCATTCCGTGTCAACGTTTTGCCTTTTCCTTGAGCCTTGGACAATTCAAGAAGTAAAGAACAGACCAAAAAGTTCATCCATTGATGCTTCATGTCATGAGAAACATCAGTGCTTTCTTATTGTACACAAATTTGTCCATTAATTCGTCTGTGGCAATTCATCATTCAATCTGTTTAATTTCTTTCTGAACCTCGTACATGCATGACATTTATTCATAGTCAAAGTTTGGCCTTTTTCTCAAGCCTTTGGGCAATTTAAACAATAAAGAACATATCAGAAATGCCATTGATTGATGCTTCATGTCATGAAAACCTCAGCCCTTCTTTAGTACATGAATACTGTATATATTGTGTAGTCCAATAAAGGTCATGACTACAATATACAGCACTTTCTTGTGCTCCCTCATCTGTTTCAAGTTTGTTCCACATTGTTAATCATATGCAAAACCTGCAAGTTTTATGAACATTAAGAAATGCCTTCTTCTGCTGCACACCTTTCACCTTGGTTGCTGCACAACCAAGTATGTTGACACCAATCTGAATTAGTTGCTAGGCTTGGCGCTGACCTCAAACACAATTGTCTATTCCACTATACTATGTTAAGTTTATTCTCCTCAAAATCTTGCTGCAGGAACCTCAACGTTGCATGCTCATATATTTCTATGCTTTGTGAAACGGAAATAAAAGATGCACTTGTAAAGATTGTTGAAGTCTATTTTGATTCTTTGGAAGTATGTGGAAAACAATTTAAATCTTTGACATCAATTGTCAAGACAGTTGATATTTGAAAGAATTGTCTGATCAACAATTCTCCAACTGAATTTGGACTAGTTCAGACAACAATCAATTGACTCTTTGGAAGGAATTGTTCATTATATTGGCACATTTTCTTTCTAAACCGCGTCCTTGTGTGCGTTTACATTCATTTTGAGTCAAAGTTTGGCCTTTTTCTCGAGCCTTTGGGCGATTCAAAAGATTTAAAAAACAGCACAAAAACTGCGATCGATTGTCATAAAAAACTTCAGTCCTTTTTTCAGTACACAAATACTGCATATCGATTGATTCGTCTGTAGTAATTCTGTAATTGATCATTCAATCAGTACCCTTATTATTTCTGAACGTATTCCTCGTGCGTGTTAACATTTATTCTAATTGTCAAACGCCGGCCTTTTTCTCGAGCCTCACGGACGATTAAAAAAATACTCCTCGATAAAACCAAAAATGCCGTCATTCTTTCTCCTCTCTTCACCCCAACCCTCTACAATAGAAAATTTGCTGAAACGCTTCAGCTCATCGAATTGTTTGTCGGGCAACCCGCAGAGGGAGTCCTGTGAATTGCAGCAGCAGCAGCAGCAGCTCATATCACAGGATTCCTGATCTGCTCCGGCTTCCTTTGGTCTCGCTGCTCGGGTATGCGCGGTATGCGGCGTCCGGTGCCCGGGAAGCCGTTGTCGGACACGTGTTGCCCATCGACGCCACATTGTTTGTGTGTGCTTTTTGTTGTGCGACAACACGGACGCTGCACACGGGGCATTGTTGGCATCTCCGGGACACGAAGAGAAATGGCCGAGAAGATCAGCTATATTGCGCGCACCGAAAATGAAAAGTAAATACTGTACGAGAGAGGATTTCCGGTTTATGTTTCTGCGAATATGATGAACCTGGCTTATTGGACAGATGAGATCTTTCATACCATTCAGGTGATGTTGGGCCACATTTAAGCGCTGTCCACAGGCATATTTTCCCGAAAATTATACGAGGGTTGTCCCTCTTCCGCTTGGCTTTGGATATTTCCGGAGTGGGTACCACCGTAAACAAAACAACAAAATTATAACATATAGCCATGCAATGGAAATTTTCTGGGATTTATTTCTCAGATTTTTATAAACGTTTTTAGACTTTCTGCATGAAGATAAGTGAAAACTTTCCAGTTTATATGAGAGTTCTCCATCACCCATGTCACAAGCTGTTGAACATTTTTCACGCCAGACAAAAATTTAAAATTGTATATTGTTTCTAGCACAAACTTTTCCACATCTTGTGTGATTTTTGCATTTTTTCAAGCATTATTTTGTTAGAAAAGAAAAATGAAAACCTAAGTGCATTTTTTATTTCTCCAAGAGCAATGACTCACTTCCAACCATTTTTTTTCCTCTTCAAAAAAAGCATCCAAAAGCCCGGTGTCTGCTTGTGATATGTTTCTCATTACCTTGTAATTTTAGGAAACTTCTCTTTATTTTTTTTATATCTTCTGACTCTAGGTCTGAATTATTGTTGGATGTACAAGTACTAGCAGTGTTGTATTGGGCCCAAAAACAAAGTCGCTGTAAGCAATAATTCATTAGAACGAGAATTGTTGTAAAAAGATTCTTTGGAAATAACTGCTGCACGAGAGGTGATTTCTGCTTTGTTTTTTGCTAATGATTTTTTTGCAATTGTAGTACTGTAGTTTTCTTGTTTTGACAAAAGTTTGTTGCCATACCTCTCCGTTCAAGCAATTATAGTCGCATTTGAGTACAGTACAGTATAGTAAAAACTAAACCCTGGTTCTGGACAGCCACTTCAGGGAGAAAATGCTTGGATATTTCGGTTGGAGAAAAATGCGGTCCGATGCATAAAAACAAAAATTTTTTATATGGCATTTTCTTGAACGGTTACGGACGCCAGAAGGTTCTCTCACTTTCACCTGAATCTGATCAAGAAATTGTCGCTGAGGTTCTCAAAAACTTATTTTACATACCGGTAGCATTGTTTTAAATCATAATTAAACTTGATGTATCCTATGCTGTATAGTGACAAGGAAATGAACCTTCATTGTTCATCGAATTGAACAACAATAATTTCAAAAATGCACCGTATCAGAGGGATTAACGTATTACTGTTAATATGTTGAGTCAGTGTCCTCATGTTGGGCCTTTTTTATTAATTTTTCCTGGGAAAATGTCAAATTGTCCCAAGGTTGAGGTGTCTGCATGTGGGGGTCTCACTGTAATTCATTAGAACGAGAATTGTTGTAAAAGGATTCTTTGGAAATAAGTGCTGCACAAGAGATGATTTCTGCTTTGTTTTTTGCTAATAATTTTTTTGCAATTTCAGTAGTTTTCTTGTTTTGACAAAAGCTTGTTGCCATATGTTCACGCAATTATAGCCGCATTTGAGTACAGTATAGTAAACACTACACCCTGGTTCTGGACAGCCATTTCAGGGAAAAAATGCTTGGATATTTCTGTTGGAGAAAAATGCGGTCCGATGCATAAAAACAAAATTTTTTAATATGGAATTTTCTTGAACGGTTACGGACGCAAGAGGGTTCTCTCACTTTCACCTGAATCTGATCAAGAAATTGTCGCTGAGGTTCTCAAAAACTTATTTTACATACCGGTAGCATTTTTTTCTATCATAATTAAACTTGATGTATCCTATGCTGTATAGTGACAAGGAAATGAACCTTCATTGTTCATCGAATTGAACAACAATAATTTCAAAAATGCACCGTATCAGAGGGATTAACGTATTACTGTTACAGTGAATAAATGATCATAATATGCTAATCGAGATACGGCAACACAAATATTATTTATTTGTGCTTTGCTATTATTCGAATGAAGGAACGCATCGGTTTTTCTGTCTTTGCATTCCGAAGAATTCTTTGAAACGTTCATGCAAGCACCAAGAAAGCATCCATCATTCGCTTCAAAGCTTTTAATACTGTACATTCCATTCAGAATTTATTCCGCAAGAAGTCTATTCTCGAATTTATTCTTGGACAAGTCCTTTCTTGGGTTTGTCACATGTGTTGATCTTCAGAGAAATGCGCAGATTTGCTGGCATTGTGCTTGTGAAAGATGCAGATCTGAATGGACTTATGCTTACGGGTTTACATGCTCTATATTCTGTAGTCTATAAACTCTGTATTGTTCCCCTTATTTAAGATCAGAACGGAATCTCATCAACTCTTTGAACCACGAATCAACGCCTGACCTTTAAATCTGATAGATTCCTGAATAATATTTTTAGAAATAAAATTCATCATGCAGCCATGGGACTGTTGGCATATGTAGAGCACGTTAAATGTAAAAAAAAATACACTCAAAAAATCTGTCATCATGCACGTTTTTTAACTCTACGAAAAGAAAAACAATAAGTTAAAAATTAAAATAAGACTCTGAATGCATTCATGTATTGAAAAAATGTAGAACTATGATTTACTAGTTCACCCAAGGATTCACGAAATCGGTGATGTACCATAAGCTTGTTTGATACATAATTTAGGCTTGCTTGATTATTATGCCATTCATGAGACATTTTAAGAACCTGTTGGAAAAAAATCTAATTTTTACGCTAATTGATGATACAGTTACATTTACTGGTCAATCGCCTAAATATAAGTGGACTTTTACTGAATTCTTGATGAAATGAATTAAAAATATCTCGAAGATTTCATTTTTTAATATTTTTCCGGCAATAATAAGGTGTAAAAAGAAACGTGTGAAATTATCTCTGAGCGAACACGACGCATATTGGATATTTTACTGAATTGTGTAGCGGTCTACGAGACTGTTTCTGATTGGATGCTGCTGAAAAATTAAAACTGCTCGACATTTTGTTTGGTACATTTCCAAAACTGTTCGAGCTTACAGCAGCATTTCTATTTTGACTCACATTCAATAATAGTGGTGTTATAGTTTATAGATCCTTATGTGACGGCCGATTCTCGTGTTGCGCATGTCACGTTGAATAACATTTTCATTTCACGAGAATTACGACGTTCTGCTAAAAGTTCCAGGACCTACAAAGTGAAAAATAGTCGGTGTCCTCTAGTTATCCCAAGGATCATGTGGGAGGGGGTTGTTTGGGCTAGACCCCCCTCCCACTCCTCCCCGTCACCTCTGGGGCGGAAACGGGTGCTGAGTCGGAAGTATTGGGTGTTGTTTACATCCTTACGGATCTTTTGCAAGAGGAAAAACGCAAATTCAGGCACTTTTTGCTGAAACGCTCAGCGGGATCACCAGCAGCTAGCCTCGCTATTCAGTCCGTCAACACGAAAAATTTCTCAAAAACGTTTATCTTTTCGGTTTTTCATTTGTCAATAACAGGGTGTGATGATGGGTCCATTTCGTGAGATAGGGATACAGGCTACGCTATTCCACTCGTTAACTGAGCTCCATCATTGCACTAACCAGCGCAGTATTTTTAAAATATTGTACAATAAGGCGAAACTTTCATTTTCGAGGAAATCAGGTTATTTCTGCAACTCTTCTGGATGAGCGAAAACCGGAAAACCTGTTGCCAAGGAGATCGTAAGGAAAAGGACGAAAATCACGAGGAGAAACCGATCGTAGAATGGCCGTCAGCCGGGCGACCATTCCCTGGGTCGCTGTATTCTTCTTCCGAAAACTCTCCCCAGAAGCCACGTTGAATGAAAGAAATTAGTTTTTTAGAATACTGGATAGCGTTAGACAATTTTAGAAACATCACGTTGAAATTTAGACTCATACGTCGCAATAAAATTTATGAAACGAACAAGAACTGGCGTTGAATACTTATGGGGATGTGCTTACGAAAGAAGAGGCCTGACTTGATAAGTGATTTATGTGGCCGTCGTTCGAGAAATCTCAAGAAACTCTTTGTAGACGCAATATCCACTGCGTTGACTGCTCAAATACAGTGCGGAAGCTTATGTTGTGATGAAAGTTTCTAGATCTGTGCAACGAGTCGACCAACGAAAGAACCAATGCCTTTGCATTTGCTCAGGACAGGGCTGCTCTGGGCGGGGATAGGCCGAACGGGTGCCACGCGCGCTTTTTTCCAAGTTGTCTTCAGTTCGTGAGGAAGCCCCGGCGGCGGAGGTTCGACGGAAGGTTACACGAAGAATTGCAATTGCTACGTTGTGCCAATTTATGTGCGGGCAATATACAAGCTCTTCCAGGATCAACTGTTGGAATGCGATTCCATCCATTCGGTGACTTCCGACTGAAGCTAAATGCGTTTTGACCGAAGAAAAGCACCTGTGTCTCATTCTTACACCAGAAAATCAAATTTTTTTTTCCTTTTATATCTCGGCTTCCTCGTTTAATGCGTGAATATAAGGGTGGAGTAAACCGTGTTATTGAAACGTGATAAATATTGCCAAAAACGTCTTGGAAATCAATGTTCACATGCTGATGTTTCCAACCATCAACGAAGCCATGAGTTGCGCTCGAGGGAATGGTGATTTTTGAAGAGTGTATCATTGAACATTGCAATTGTATTTCGCTAAGCAATTTGTGTGGGTAATTGATGTTGCGTTTCGCCTGGTTTCGCTTTCGTGAAGTTATCTGCTTCTGAAATTTCCTGATGTTGAACTCGGTTGGGAAGCAAATGATTCGGAAATAAAGTGAATTATGTGATGGGACGCTTGTGAAAATGAAGGATTAATCCAAAATCAGCTTTAAAACTACGTGACTCCACTGATGTACTGTATGTACAACAGAATACTGCAGATGTACAGTACAGACGACAGGTGAAATTACGTCGTACGTGCTGATGATTTCCTAAATATTTGCGACGACTTATTGATTGATCAGATTTAGACAGATGTAGGCTGGGCAAGCAATGGAATATCAGGGGACAAATTGCCCTACGAAATCACTAATATTGAGAGGCTGCGCGTTCATCATTCAGGATAACAAATTGAATTGCAGCAATTTCAAGAACGATATTCCCTTTAGCAAATGTCCGTAAAAGTAATTTTCAACACGCATAGCAAAAACTTACGTATGAGATAATTGCGACTAATTCGCATTGCGGGGCTTCCGTTATCTAATGGTGTGCGACTGGAAAAATTTATCGTTAAAATTGTGCGCTTCCGGTGCTAAATCTGAACCGCATCAGGTGATTCACCGTCGAGGTACTGGTCGCCGTGGTGAAACTGTAGGATTGAAGAACTTTCCGAGTGGGATATATATTTTGTCTTTTTCGAGCCTGGCGTCTTGCCCAGTGTATAAGCGCCAGGGTTTTCTTTCTCTCTCGTCAGTGCATGGATTCTTCATGACGTTAGCTACGGGACACGGCCCGTGGCCGATGATTGAAAATATCTCTCGACTCCGGAATATGCCAACCGTGTCCCGTTTTACGCAAGTTTCTGTCCCTCTGCGTCTCCTTTGCATTATTCAAAAATCGGATCCCCCGAATGACTTAACACCGTCGAACCGAGATCTCTGTGTGTCATACGCGGGGTAGTTAATATTCTGTGAACTGCATGCATTTGAATGTCTGAATATGCAGGTCGTCGGGAGAAGGACATTCGTGCCTGGTCTTCCGACCGATTTCTCATCAAAAGCTTCCACTCCGCTCATACTTCCATTTGTTTTCGTCTATCTTGTGAGTTGGACGTGATTATTTGATATTAGTTCTCGACTTCTGGATCGGTGTGCAGAAACCTCCTTTGCGTTATGGAGCTCAAATTCCAGTCGAAATCGCCTTGAATAATACTGACCGTGTGTTGAATGCTTTTTGAAACATTCGGCAAAATGGTTAGTGAATCTGCTCTGGATGTCCGAGGCACCTTTTTTTTGAGTTGAGGGGGTTGTAGAAAGAATTCGATTGCTTTTTAGAAGTCCATCACGAATTCACTTGGTGGGTTTTTGCAATCCACTTAAATTTCACGATGGCACCCAGAAGGAAATTGAATTTCGAAAGATCAGAATACAGTCCTAACTTGAAGACAGTGTACGAGTATTTATTCTTAGCAACTTACGACGCTGATAATAAGACGTACCTTGGTATGGGAAATGGGAAATTTCAGCATACGGATTATAAATTCTCATGTATAAATTATTCTAGTGATCAAGGCTTGCTTCGTGTCTGATTTTGATTTCATGATCAGACTTCGAACTGTTGAAGTTTTCGGCCAGGAGCAGGATTATAATTCTAAGGGAATATTTCATTCCGAAAAAATCAAAATCTACTTGATTCAATGACCGATAGTTTTTTCGAAGATACTGTACAATATTTTACGAGATTTTGTGATGATCACCGCGAGATTCGCTGATACAAAGTGTCGGAACTCCCGTTTAATTCAGCTGAGTACTCATAAAATGTTCAAAAAGTACTTTCTGCCTGTTATTGTGAGTGGGCTTTATCCTTTTGGAAATGATCATGCATTTCGAGCTTTTCCTGTAGATCTAGTCGGAACTCCCGTTTAATTCAGCTGAGTACTCATAAAATGTTCAAAAAGTACTTTCTGCCTGTTATTGTGAGTGGGCTTTATCCTTTTGGAAATGATCATGCATTTCGAGCTTTTCCTGTAGATCTGAAGACAGGGGGCATGGTGATTATTTCGCGTGAATTTCGCTTCTCAAATTCTGGAAATCGTGCTTCTTTTCAATTCGGCAGACCTAGTATCTGCTTCTTGGATTGGCTTCTACTACCGGGTGCTTTCTGTTGGCTTTTAGACCTCCAGGATGAATTCGATGGGGTTTTTTTTCTTTCGCACATTTGCTCATTTGCCTCTTTCTTTTTTTGGTCGTCGGTCTCGTGGAAGTCTCCGAAAGAAGGCTCAGTTTGGAGAATCTACTGGGCCACATGGTTTGTAGTTATGTTCGACATTCGTTCATCGTTGTACCTTTTCCGCAGGTTAATCGATCGATCTCTGCAGTGATTCAGGTATTTGTTGAGTGAACGTCGAACTCATTTCGTGTGTCAGTTGTTCTACGGTTGCTGAGCAAGTATTGGAACTTTACCGCTTAGCGTGTGTCCTGAACGATAGAAAAGACTGGCGATTTCGCGATGACGGAAATACTGCGATAAAGTCGTAGATATTTTTGCGGAAGTACGAATTAAGACTGTTTCCTTTGGAAAGGAACTGTTCTGAAGTCGGAACTCCCGTTTAATTCAGCTGAGTACTCATAAAATGTTCAAAAAGTACTTTCTGCCTGTTATTGTGAGTGGGCTTTATCCTTTTGGAAATGATCATGCATTTCGAGCTTTTCCTGTAGATCTAAAGACAGGGGGCATGGTGATTATTTCGCGTGAATTTCGCTTCTCAAATTCTGGAAATCGTGCTTCTTTTCAATTTGGCAGACCTAGTATCCGCTTCTTGGATTGGCTTCTAGACCTCCTCTATTGAAGACTCAGTTTGGAGAATCTACTGGGCCACATGGTTTGTAGTTATGTTCGAAATTTGTTCATCGTTGTACCTTTTCCGCAGGTTAATCGATCGATCTCTGCAGTGATTCAGATATTTGTTGAGTGAACGTCGAACTCATTTCGTGTGTCAGTTGTTCTACGGTTGCTGAGCAAGTATTGGAACTTTACCGCGATCGCACACAGGACTTGCTATCTTTTCTGACCGCTAAAGCGCTACTGCCTTTATGACGCTATTTCAGCATCTATAAAAACGCCTTCATGCTTAATTCTGACAAAGGAAACCTTTCCTTGACAAGACTACTGAAAGGAGAACTCAATTGAGGAGTTTTGAAACAGAGATCATGAGTCCGAAGTTTGCGCTTGCTGCGTTTTGGCTGGTCGTCTTGTGCTGTTCAACTGCAGCTAGCCGTTCAAGCAAGAGACGTGAGTAGAAATATATCCTGTACTTACATTTTCCGGAAATTTTCTCAAATATGGGGTACACACATATATATATTTTTTCAATTTTCTCGAAGTCGCGGAAGATATCGAAGCCCATAGTAAATCGCGTTTCCGACTGTCGTTGAGTGTTTCCGAAGGCAATAGGAAGATCCGCATTTCTGTAGACGTCCCAAGCATCCGGTGGGTTTCCCAAAATACATCGTTTTCCGAAAGTCGAAACTCATGCACTTTTAGTCGAAGGCCCTTCAACGCCTTGTATTGATCGGACTTCCTTTTAGACTTTAAAACTCAAAGGACCGACCAGTTTAGAAGTCCTTTGTTGGGAACTACTAAAGTAGGCCTACAACTGCGTTTCCGGAAGCTGGAAAAGTTTTAGCCCGATGTTCATTGATGGTTAGGTTGTCCAGGAAGTTTTTTTATAGTCATCAGTGTTATTTTTTCTCTTTCTGACTTGGAAAGTTCTAGTGCGGTGTCCCCCAACCTTTTTGGGCCCGTGGACCTGCAAATTCCCCAAAAATGCCTGCAGCTGACAAGCAAAGTTTCATGAAATTTGAGCGGACATGAAAAAAGTTGTCTTCGAAAGACTTGATGCCAGGTACAGTTTTTAGAAATGACAAAATTATTTTGCACAAATAAATTAAGAACCAAAGATGCAGATATATTGGAATGTCTTTGAAGATAAGAAAGGTTTCTCAGTGTAAACAATTGAAATATTTTTTTCGGAAGGTGACAATTTGCTTGAAGTGTTTGATTCATGGATTTTCATCCATCCAAAATAAATTACTCGAGTAGCTTCTTTGAAATACCTCTTTGAAAATCACGAAGAATCTGTGATGGTGATCAAGTTTT